CTCATATATGATAATTTACTCTGGTCTCTCATATCATTGTGCTTTAAAAATTGAAATATTTGATGAATATAGCTGCATTAACCAGTAAACCAAATGCATTCTTGTCTGAAAAGTATACCTGTCAGTTTCATTGCTTGGGTCATAATACCCACTTCAAGCAAACATTTTAATTGATCCTTGAAGTAGCCTTCCATTCTGTGTGACAGCTCTCTCCACCATCTCTCAATTTTGTTTTTGGTGGAAGGTCCATATAGAACACAGTCATCTCCATTCTCCACATCACCATGTTGTGCTCGTAAATAACTGTGGATAGTACACGTACATCACACCAGTTTCTGTTCCTCTATCCACACATATTCTTGAGGGTAACACTATAAAATACAGAAAAAGTTACACATATTTTTGTACAATAATGTTAACATGACTATAATATATGATTGTGCTCAAGAAGGGTGCTAAAACAATGTCTATCAAGAAAGGGTGATTATTTCAAATTTCATACTCAAGGTGCATTGAAATGAGTCTGGAGCATATTTGAGGGTGAGTGATGCTCAATGATTAATGAAGGGTATTAATTAATAATTTAAATTTGAAGAACCATTTAGATAAAGGCAAATATTATAATACCTCTTCTTTCAAATAAATAGTCGAAGTAGAATCTACCAACAATGCTTGGATTATTGTTGGAAGTCCATACTCTCAGGAAGTTTACTCTGCTGCTGAAAGTATCCTGGGCACCATAAATGCACAGTGGGAACGTAGACTTTTGAAAACCACATATTTTATCATGCCCATCAAGTGACATTGTAAAATCAGCTCCCTGAATGAGAAAATCATCACATATATTAATATAATGTTCTAGTGTAACAAATTATGAACATTTTTTAATATGCTTACAGTCTGTTATGAATCGTGATAATAGTTATGATTTTCCCTTTATTTAACCCAACACCATAATTGTTCAACTAACAAAAAACTAGATTACATAAATATTTAAAGCACATGTGATCAATCAATGTTCCCTAGCTATGTACAAACAAAACAGTTAATTATAAAATACTTGAGTTCATGCAATTATAAATGTCAATCTACTTATCTAATCAATCCAGATGTCTCTAAAACAGAATTTCCTGCAATTCTTAATTATATTTTACCACAGTATCTGACACAGTCGATGTGAACGGTCCTTTTCTTTGTTGGCGTTTCGGTTGTCCCACACCACCTCTGTCTTGTAAACCTTGAGGGTTGACATTGGTCATCACGTTGTACACAACGTTTCTTGGAACATTCAATGTGTGTACTTCACGAATCTTCTTGTGAAAAGCACGATAGCCTAGGAATCTTCCTGGCCCATTCATCTCTTCTTCCACAGCACATGTGACATCGTCAATATTTGTGTCATATTCGATGTATTTTATATCAAAATGATGCATGCGATGTGAGAGAGTTCTTACACTCCATGCATACATCGGATACTTCACTTTCAAGAAATCCACAATTTCTGTTTGACGCAAATTCTGGGCAACGTACGCTTTAATGTCGTATTTTAACTCCATATCGCCTTCCCAGTCCTCATTCCTTATGCGAGTCACCATGTTGGAATATTGTATCATGCCCGGAAGGCTTTATGGTATATGGCGTCTCTGGGCCATGACAATCGCTATGGCGTCAATGGGATCGAAATAGGTCTATAATTGTTTGATTCCGTCGTTATTCCATTTTTCTAAATTGGAATAACTTTTGAGATTTTCAGCACTTCTGGTACACTGCCGCTTGCTATAGATGCATTATACAATAGTGTAAATGGCACTGCGAGTGGTCTACAAGCTATCTTTATTACTTATTACGAATATCGAGAGAGGCTTTGTTGGAATTTAATTGAGAGAAAAGTAAAGATACATTTGTCTAATTCACAGGGGACATAATAAAACTAGTAGAAGGTGAGTATTTATTGTGTTCTCAAAAAAATCTGCCAAAGATTGGAGCATGTTTATCAATAATACATTTAATACTGTCTATTACTTTTTCTGCTTTACTATTTAGATTTAGACTGGGTTCAGACATATTGTTCCATACAAATGAGTTCATATCATTCATATAAGCTTCAGTATTAAAGTTTTTATAGTCATGATAATAAACTTCTTTTTTATATCTGCTAATCTGAACATCTGTCATACAAAAAATTGGCAGATGGTCTGAAATATCAGCGGTTATAATTTTACTAATTATATCTATATTTGGTGCATTTGTATATATGTGATCAATCAGTGTTGGGGGCAAAATAGGAAAAAAAGGCAGAACGAAAAATATGAGCCGTGGAGGTTGGGGAACACACAAGTCTGAAAAGATATATTGTACAACTTTAATTTATTAACTTCAGCTATATTTTACTTTAATAATATAAACAAAAACTTCAAGTCTTTGTAGCTATAATCGTACAGCTATAACTCTTAAAGATGCTGTCAAGTCCATTCTGCGCATCGGTTCTGCTCATAACAAAGGGGGACCCACAGATGATTTTACATCTTTTGAACTTTTTCTGAATTGAAACTCTGGTTTATATTCATTTACAAGCATACTAAACCAGAACAGTGTTATATATTCAGTTAGTCTAGCAGTTTGAAATGTAAACAAAGCGTTTGTTTACATTACGGACTTGACAGCACCTTTAATAACTTGAAATTTTCAAGAAAAAAAGTTTGCAATAAAATCTCGTTGTTTATATGTCTCAAGACATGGCCTTGCATTGCATCTTTCTTTCTTGTTGAAAAAGGATACAACGGCTGGCCTTGGGTCATATGAAGCCGTTGGGACACCGTTCCAGGCTATGATCATTCTATCATTTAACGTTTTCTGGTTTGTTGTTGTCCTCAGCTTCGAGTACAGAATATTATATGTTGCAACACTTCTTTCAACTGTCATGCTATCAGGTGAAATCACCACTATTGCAGACAGCAGATTCTTACTAAGCCAGTGCTATGTCTGAAAATACAAAAATAAATAAAAAAATATTATATATCTCAATTATCAAAAGTTACGTTGTTTTTTAGCAACACAGCTTACCTTAGCATATATAATATCCTGACTGTGTAATCTTTTTCCAAAACGTGTGAATTAGGTTTCAGATTGTCAAATATCTCGAAAACAGTGTCAGTAAATTCCTTCACATCATCACCAACTATACCTGCGCATTTGAGTAGTGGTCTTGAGGCAACAAGAAACTCATTTATTGATTTTGCACCACAGATGTCAACAATGTTTTTCATTATACCTTCCTGCTCATTGTCCAATCTTTGCTCAAGGAAGTTGATGGCTGCATTAATAATCTCATTTCGTATGGTAGTAAATGGTCGTCCCCGGTGATAACCATCAACTAAGGCGTGCATTCTCTTTGCTTGCCTCGATGATTCAGCAGATTGTCCAGATCGATCAGCATCTAAGGGACCATTTTCTTTTACCCACGTTTCTTCAGAACCACCAGCATATGGTGTACCTAGCATAGATCTGAGCTTGAGGAGTGCTATATCTCTGTGCTTCATGATGTCAGGAAGAACAATGCAAAGCCTGGGGGGCAATTGCCTCCCCCCCAGATATATAGTTAAAAAAGGCACTGAACTCTAGTTGGTTTTGTTATTAGTGGGAGAAAATTATTGCTATAAATCATATTTAAGTATTCTTCTGTTAGGGTGTACTCACCGTAATTAAAGAAATTTACATTCATATCACCTATATAGGTTTTATAGGAAGCCAATCGAGTCATTATATCCTCAAGTTCAGATGTGAATTCTGTTAGACTAGCTGCAGGATGCTTATAAATACATCCAATCAATATATTAGGTTTTTTTGAATCAGTATCAAGTTCCACCCAGCATGATTCAACTGCAGACATGCTAAACTTCAAGTCTGGTCTTGGTGAGGCTTTTATGCTTGTATTAACATAAATACCTACACCTTCTGCACTAGTTGGAGAGTCATCATTGAAGAAATTATAATTTGCTAAATCCACATTATCTATTGACTTAGAACTTAATCAGTCGCCTTCAGCTCACACTGGAACTTAGAACAAAGTCGCCTTCAGCTCACACTGGAACTGGTAGGATTGTTATGGCTTTACTGTATTTAGTACCGTTTGATGTAGATTTGTGCTTAGACACTGCACATACTGTAAGATTGAAATAGTTAAAAAGCGCTAACCTTTAGAACTTAATCTTGTTTCAGTGACAGCAACTATATCAATAGGTTTACTTAATGTGTCTAATAGCTCATTTAAAGAGGAAGATTTTTTGGTAGGCTCCTCATATTACAATGTAAAAGGCTTAAAATTTGATTACTAGCTTGATCAAGTAGCTCATGAAGCTGGGTAGGACTACAATAATCTGACACCGGAGTAGTAAGCATTATTAGATCAGAATCCATATCATCTAAATCTATCAGGATTAGGAAGTATATCATTAAGATCTCTAGTACGATCTAATATCAAGTCAAAATGATCAAACATTGGAATTAATATAATAATACTTTAAATAGAAATAAATCACACTAATAGGACAAAAAAAAACCCAACTTATCTGTTAGAAACAGATTCTTCAAACTCCTGAAACTGTTCATACGTTGTAGAAGTGTATACTTGCGAGTCATTGCCTTCACCTAAATGAATCTTTCCATTGGTAGTCCATAGAAACTTAAATTTATGGTCCTTTTTAAACTGATTAATCTTGCCAAGCAGTCTCTTTCTATAGGATGTGAGAGACTCGTTTATGTGAATCGTTGTATTCTTGCCAGACTTCCTCTTGCTTAACATGACAAGTGAACTTGACTATTACACAATCTTTCACTTTTCTTGATTCGGGCAGTTGATGTGCGATAGAAATATCTTTATCATCAAGGTTAACTCCAATTGCTGATGCCAGTTCTATTACCAGGTCTTTTGTATTTTCATCAGATACTATTGGGATTCCTGTTATCTCAAGACAATCACATTGTAGGTACTGTTGTACGTCATCAATGGCGACATCTTGTTGATAGTTAATTTCACGAATATGACCGATTTCATCAACAGCATTTGTTATTCATTGCTCATGGTCAAGTATATTCTTCTTGGTTGACTGGAGTGATTGTAGGATTTTGTCATTTATTAGATATAAATTGCTGCGACTCTTCTAGCTTTTTAAAATGCATATTCAGATCAGGAATGAATGATGGATGAATGCTTGGAAGCAATTCATCCCTCCATAAATCCATAAAACTAGTCTTAGTAAAGCCTTTAGCCATATTAGTTGTGCTTTGCAAGCCAAGCCGGACTCATAGTTAAAGAGCTCAGCCATATTGTTGGTGTCCACCATCTTAATGACTGCTGACATGCATTTTAACATGATTGTAGACTCGTAATTTGCAAACAGGCAGGAATTTTATTCAAAACACTAGAAAGAAAACAAGGAAAACCCACCATAAAAGAAGGCACTTTTTCTGGGAGATGTTAACGTTAAACCAAGGTGTAGCTGTTTGGCAATTATATATTAGTGTTTCTTGGTGTAATGGACCATACTTCGTCTTTGAGGAATCGTCCTGTGCAAAAATATATTCTGCTTTTGTAAAAACACCAAAGCAATAGCATTTGAAGAGTTTATATTGTCAGAAAACATACACAGGGAAGATAGCTTTTTCATTGTTGTTTTGGATGGTTAACTATACCCTAAAGCATAGTTAACTTTAACTACTTTTTAACTGCAGTTAGTGCTAACTATGTTTTATACAACCGGCCCCAGAATACATATTTGTTAACACCTTAATGTATGTTAAATTAAAACACATAATTTAGATCACTGTGCAGTGTATAATATTAACTCATCAAAGCACCGAACGCAAGCCACAATGTTTATTTGTACCATGGTTAATTAAAACAACTGGGGTGTCTCTTGTTGCAAAGAATGGTGTGTGTCTCTCGAGACCAATATATTTGCTCACCTGATTTTACGGTGTGGGAAAATGAACCATGTCATCTTCTAAGATCTGCAAAAAGCCATTTATACCTATATCACCTTTAACTGAAATTACTTTATTATCAGCCGACCAGCCAAAAAATAAGTAAACACTTGTTCACAAAGGTAAATTTAAACTGTTCAATCAAGGCTGAACACTTAACAAAAATAGGTACGCAGTGCGTACATGTGGCTAGCCTGGTAAACTTTAACTCCTCAAACACAGAGAGTCTGCGATGCAATCATGCAAGCTAACTTTAATAGTAATAAGAAGAAACGCAGGCTAACTTTAATAGTAATAAAAAGATATATCATTGTACAATGCATATGCAATCTCCATGGTGATTGGCTAAGAATCTACAAACGATTATCAATGTCTTGCACTCTTGCTGCCTCGGATATTGAAAAATAGTCTGTAGGTGACATAACTTCTAGTATGCATGGCTGTCCTACAAAACTCTCTGCGACTGTACATGCTATTACATTTGTATATTAAAACAATTACTGTATCCAGCCCTCAGCTTCAGCAGATAACATTGCTATAGTTGTGAAGGTTGACTGGCATGATTGCTCATCATGCACGAGACTTGGAACTCACAGCAGGGGGGATAGTGTATGTTCCAGCATCAAACACCCTTCCCACAATGTCTTAAAATTTGGGTTTCTGAAATGACATTCCCAGTATTATTTGAACAGATTTTTGAAAGATTGCTTTTCTTAACCAAGATTATAGGAGTTCTAATCAGATTAATATATGCTTTTGCAAACAGGGCTCATGTTACAGGTCGAATGAAGCATTATTGACTGTTAAATTAGTAGAGAAGATACCTGTATAGACAGAAAGTAAAGTCATTTCATACATTTCCGAGTTTTACATTTATCTTAAAATTTCTGGTCTTTTTAGCAAATCCTGTAGGTAATACCTAGTGGAGTAGTGGATGCTTATACCCAGAGGATGCTTACAGGCAGGGGTTGCCTTTAAGGTTATACTTACTGAATGCTTATACTCAGGGGGTGCTTATATCCAGATGGTGTTTTAGCAAAAGGTATGTGAAAACACATTAGATGATGAACACAACAATTTTTGTACATCCAAAGAGATATATACTAAGAAATACCTAGCCTGCGAACAGGCTCTCAAGCTGAATTGAGAGCCTGCATCGATGACTAATGAATTTGAATATCTGCGTCTCAAATCGTGACGCGAAATTCTCATTGGTCAGATGCTATAATTTATATGTTTCCGCTTAGCTCTATATATGTCAACTGCTAGACTATGCATAAAAAAAAACACATTAACTGATCAAATTGGTCTTGGCCGTCTTATATCAAGGCACGAAATGTTCTGTTTTGAGAAAACAGTATTTAAAATATTTGAACTTTTGCTTGAATATCTTATATTTCGAAAAACAGTATAAAATGTACGGTCTAAATTTAGTTTGCACGAAAGTTGTAAACAAACACCATATAAGGATAGACATTCCATATTTGGAAAAATGAACGTTACGGGGCAGATATTCAAATTCATTAGTCATCGATGCAGGCTCTCAATTCAGCTTGAGAGCCTGTTCGCAGGCTAAGAAATACCAAACTAACAAAATTACTAAAATAATTTCAACAAATACTATACTAACAAAATTATTAAAATAATGATTTAATTATGCAAGTATGATACTACACATTATAGAACTTTAAAACAACATAATTGTGCACCCTATGTGAAATACAGTTACAGGTTAAAACATCAAAGTTCATGTTTGCCAAAAGCATTTGTCAGGTTTCACTACTATAGCAATAGTCAAGGTTGTTCTTGTGACTAATATAGCAATAGTCAAGGTTGTTCTTGTGACTAATATAGCAATAGTCAAGGTAGTTTAATAATCTCACCACAAATGGCAATTGGTTGGCAATATGGTTGCACCTCGAGTTGCACAATGGCAAGGTTTAATTAATAATTTTAGCCCTGCCGGCCTTCTTGGCTTATTTTTGTTTGGTACGTGACCTTTCACGTACTGTAAATAGCCCTGTATGATCAGAACGAGCACAATGGTCCTTTCTTGTTTATTGTATTTTCTATTTGACTCCTTTGTTGTTTTCTGTATTTCTGAATTGTCGTAAAATGCTAGTAAAATTATGCCTGACTTTTAATATTCCGACCAAATTGACCAAAAATATATCTTTGACCAAAGCAAGCCAAAATAGCGATGTAAATAATACAATAAAAGCAAACTTATACAAAAATAGAAATGAACAAATAATGCTTACCCTTTACTCGAAGGAACACAAGGATTTCTCAAGGAATAACGCGATAGAAGTCCTCAAATACCCCGAAAATATGCAAATGTCGGAACACCACCGAATTAACAAATATAGAGCTTCCGATTGCTCCCGATACTTTACCGATCGGGCACACTTCGAGCTTCCGATTGCTCCCGATTTCTCCCGATACTTTACGATTGCTCCCGATTTCTCCCGATACTTTACGAAAATCCGGACTGGACAACATGATCATCATCACTCATCACGCGTACAGTCTATGTGTCTATGTGATAATGGCTAGCCCGCAAACGGGCTAGCCACAAAAACTTGATAAGATAGAATATCCTGCCAGCTGCCTAGAATACAATCAGTGACAAAGGTTTTTGGACTGTGATATATTATATACATATCTAAGTATTTCCAATTACTGTTCAGCATAATAACTTTATCCTTCCCTCCCCCACCCTAAACAATGTTAATTCACTGGCAAGGAACATTTTGCACAGGTATTTCCCCACACAACATTGAAGTGGGGGGGGGGGTTGATTATGTTGTAAACATACGCTCTTTTGCCCAAAGTGTTTTGTCACCGATTGTAGGTGTAGAACAGATCACACATTGCAGTGCTTCCATGTCCTTTTTGAGGGCATCTTTAATTGCAAATTCAAGGAGATGAGATAAACATCAGAAAAAGTTTATGTGTTCTGTGAAGTGTGTGTTTATGTGTTCGGATTTATGTGTTCTGTATTTTCGTTGCAGTTGACTCCTGATCGAACCCCGGAATTTACAGATGTTCCATAGGATTAAAAAAAACAATGTTTTGCAACTTGTGTGCGTACAAAAGTCAAAATGATGTACAGATCGTCAGATGTATTAATTTATATTATTTTGAGTTTGAACATATTGTTTAGGTAAAGAATTTCCTAACATATTTGTATTTGCAATTGTCAGCTGGCCAAGATGGTTTCGTTGCTAGATTTATTAACATGGCAATTGTCCAACTAAAAGTATTGACCCTCAAGGAGAGTTCCATTTACAAGGAAATGCTGACTAGATCAAATCTTCAAGTCCTTAACGATCTTTTCAACACCATCTATCGAGACCACAATGGAGAAGACATTGAAGTCATCTATTGCTTGGATGAGGAAGCTCTGGCAGAATTTGATGAATTTGACGAGCAAATTTGAACTCAACTCAAGTTGGCAGGCAGGAAATGTGATGACACAAGCGACCAAAGCCATGTTATTCGCTGGTCAGTAATTTTATACATTCTCTACCAATATAGAAGGAAAGCCATTTTTAAGGCTTATGGCCCAATATCTAAGAAGATTCCCAAACAATATGTGAAGTATGCTATCAAGTTGAACGAGTTCTTTCTAAGGCAGAAGGAAATTATAGAAAAGGGTTTGTTTGATAGCAAGTTTCAAATTGTTCTTTAATGTAAGACTAAAAGTAGGATTTATTTGTATTTGTGTGCTTTATAATGTTTACAAAGGGCTGAGACGGATTTTGTGATAACTGATGATGAAGTAGAGGAAATACAGCCAGAGAAGGTGAAAGGTCATACAAGCACAGATGCCCAAATTCGACCAGTTAAAAGAAAATCATCTACTCAGCCAGAGCCTAGTTCTACTCAGCCCAGTATTCGACCATTTCTTTTTAACAGCGATATTCAGCCATCCAATGGTGACAATCAGTTATCCAATGACGATCACAACAGCGAGGTTGTGTCCTTTGTGTTTCAATCATTTTACTGCCAATGAAATTGCTGCACATGTGGATGAATGTGCTCATCGGTTTGACCCTGTTGGCATTGTGAGTGATGATGACAATGACAATGATGTGGAAAATATTATTGGGATTTCAGTCTTATCAGGTGAACCCAAAAATACCAGTGTCGATCCTACCATTAAAGAAATTATGGAAGTTATTTCATCTAAATTGTGTCCAAATGTTAACAAGGATAATACAAATAGAGTTTCTATTAGAAGAAAGTACGCCTTTCAAGATTATGTAGGTGCACGCAAAAATCCCAGATGACAATTTAAAGAGAATGCAACACTGAAAGTTATACTCATTGGAGAGCCTGCTGTAGATGATGGAGGGCCCCGGAGGTATAGTATATTGCATTTAATTAATATATGATAGTGTACGGCACTGTACAATGCTTAATAACAGTTGTTTTGTTCTTCTTAAACAGTGGTCTTGCTGACACGCTTCCAGGAAGCATGTCAGCAAGACTACAGAACCCATTGGTGGTTGCTATGGTGGTTAGGATTTGTTTTTGTCCTGATATATTATAGAATCACTGGAGCAAGTGCGAAGAAAGCTTTCTCTTAACGGTGCTCCTGTTGTCAATATGGATACTCTTGCCAAGGAGGAATTTAAAATCGCTGGGGAACTGATGAGCATGTCAATTGTTCAGGGTGGTCCTGCTCCATGTTTTTTTTTAACAAATGTGTATACTTATACATTACAATTGGTGACACTAATATAACTTAACACATGTGACAAACTTCACTGATGAGCATCAATTGTTTCATATAATTTTCTCCAGTTATCTTTATGTCCTGCATCAGGCCTTGTAGCTGGGATGTTTCAGAGGTGTTCTCTTTTTGTGATATTATTATTATTATTAACAACTTTATTGGCATGACCTGTACAAACATTGCCAAAGTATTAAGTAAAAGTGCTATTAAGAGCACTGTCTATCTTATTGAACAAGAACAAATGTTATGACTACTATGTAGTTCATATTAAAGTTTCTTAAAAGTATATAATATATAGTATAAACAAAAGAATATATTTATTATAGTAAATTAAGGAGTATCCCCAGATTTAAGGCATCTGACTCTAAGGCAGAAACATTTTGAAATAAAGCTAGAAAATAGCTCAATTATAATTAAGTCATCGCATGACATCACATGTGTCAATAAGTTTTGTTTTGAATCTGTTGTAATGTTCATCTGAAAAATATTTTTTAATATATTGTTTGCATTGTTCCTAATCTACTAATGTGATATTTCTTGGAAAAGACAACATGGGAAGCAAAAGAGACCTTGTTTTGATGCACTCTATACCACCAATCTCTTTTTACTTTTTCTCTATTTGGCATTTCTTGACAAAAAATATTTTGAGGAAAGTTACGGCCAGAACTGTCTCTTGGGAAAGATTTCAGATTTTCTGGCAGGCCAATTTTAGTAATATACTCTGTGTCTTGTTTAGATAGATGTGTCCAACTTGAAGGATCGTTTGATAGTAAAGCCTTGTTTCCATTTGGTTGTTAGTTGTCGCTGGCACGACAAGTGGCTGATGTAATAGAGTGTCAACAAAACTTTATAAAACTCTGCAATCATTAAGACTGATTTGCATATAACACACAAAAAGACTATTATTATATTAGAATATTTCACATCTACCGCATGTTGTGCCAGCGACAACTAACAACCAAATGGAAACTAGGCTTAAAGGTGTAAATGTTCTTTCAGTATCAGACGACCTTACTTCTGTTGCTTGTCTGGCCATTGTCTTACCAGTGTAAATAGTAGTAATGGTATATGAATTCATAGTATAGGTTATTTTGAGGCAACAAGGGGATATGTGATTTATTCACCATGGCGCACAGTGCCAAGGTGCCTAAAAATAACATACTTATGTTTCACACTGTGAGGTTGCGTATTCAGAATATAAATAATTCTTAATGCCATATTGCCTTCGTTATGTTTTTTTTTCTCATTTTTTGTGCTGCAAAGACATTGCAGGTGAATATTACAGGGGATTATTAAACGGAAATTGATTAGAGGGAAATGTTGAATATATTCCCTGATAAGAACAAAGGAAACTGAGCAGGGTGAAAAAGAAGTGTTATTTTCTGCTGGCTGAGGTACGAAAGAAGCAGAAAATGTTTTCTCACACAAGGCTGGGAGCCCGATTGTGAATCAGGTGTGTTCGGGTGGTGCAGGTTAAGACAGCACATGTTGTTGTTGCTTCCGCAACGCTTGACATAAATCTTTTCGGTCTGCGTTTATTCAAATTTCTTTGCGATTTTTTCGCCGTTTTTTCACTGTATTTTCATCTCGTTATCATGGGAAAGTCGAAGGAATCAACTTCGAGATCCTCTCGCCTGTTGAAAAGACTGGAGTCTCATAACCAAAGCCCGGCTTTACAGGACGATAAGCTGGTCGACCAAGGCGAAGACGAAGGCCACACTGACGGCGGCAGAAGTCGTTCAAACTCGCGAGAGCCAAGGAGTCGGCGAGATTCTCGGTCACACGATAGAAGTAGGCATAGGCATAGCCACACTAGTTCTCGCCGTAGCGAGACTAGTTCTCGCCGTAGCGTGAGCCGAAATGAGGAACGTGGCAGTAGTCGAAGGCATAGTTCCCGCTCGAAAGACAGCGTAGAAAGGGCTCGAAGTAAGTCAGAAGAGCCACCGGCGTGGGCCAAAGAGATTCTCGAGAACCAGCAGAAAACAGCGCAGGATCTGTTGCGTTTGAAAACGGAGATTTCCACGGCGAAGTTGAAAGTGTCGAATTCCACAGCAGTTCCAAAGGTCGCTGAACCGGAATTTCGATATCAAGGGAACAAAAAACAGTACGAACTAAACAAGAATGTCACAGTCATGATATGGGGGAAATATCCGTAGAATTATCCCAAGGTAACTTGGCCCTATCTTGTTCTTAGTTATGATTAATGATCTGAAAATGAAGTCCCTAAACTCCTCTCATTGGAAATACGTTGACGATGTAACGATTTCTGAGGTTATAAAAGAAACTGAGGAATCGCGATTACAAACTGAACTCAATGAACTCCAACAATGGGCATGTGAGAATGATATGAAACTGAATGGGTTGAAATGCAAGGAAATGGTTGTCAGCTTTTTACGACAAAGTGATAAAAACTATACTCCATTACACATTAATGATCAACAATTGGAACTGGTTACATCTTTCAAGATTTTGGGTTTGACTATTAATAATCACCTTAAATGGAATGATAACGTTGCAATTATCGTAAAAAAAGCGTCGAAACGCCTTTACATCCTTCGGGTGTTGCGTCGATCTGGAATTCCACCCGCTGACTTGCTCTCAATCTATAACGCCTTAATCAGATCTGTTTTGGAATATGCTTGTGCAGTCTGGCATACCAGCCTACCTCAGTATCTTTCCAACAAAATTGAACGGGTGCAGAAACGTGCTCTGCGAATTCTGTACCCTTTCACTGATTATGCGGAAGCCCTATCTATCAGTCGTTGTTCTCGCCTTGATGATAGAAGGCAGTCAATATGTCAGAATACCTTACAAAAGATTGCTAATCCTTGCTCGAAACTGTACCACTTGTTGCCGTCAACTCGTGGAAACGTCCATGGACGGAGTTTGAGAAATAATAATCAATTATCGCTTCCCAAATGTAGAACTGAGAGGTTTAAGAACAGTTTTATCCCGGCAATGTGCTATAGTCAAGTTGACGTATAGGCCTTTACGGTCTTAATTTGTATATTAGGTTTTAACATTTATATTAGATATAGTAATTAATATTTTAGCATTTTTGTAAATTTTAGTATATTTCCATGTAAGCATATTGTAATTCATTTTCAATGCGATAATATGCAAATAAACCATTAATAATAATAATAATTCTTGAGGAACGGAATAAACATATTTTGCTGGCGGAAAAATACGGGTGGGACACAGTTCATTGTTACATGGCTGAGCCCCTCACTAGTGACTCGGAGGATGAAAAGCGAATCAAACGGGCTGTAAAAGAGGGCAAGCAGCTGAAAAACGAGAAAGCAGCCGAGGCGGTACGGTTCAAACCAAATAAGCAAATACGCGCTCCGGAAAGGCACAGTTTTGGAGGCAACACGAGGGCATCATATTCGCAGTCTTCACGTGACAACCGCATGAGCGCTATGACGTGTTTTCGTTGCTTCAAGCCAGGTCACCTCGCGAGAGAGTGTCGGACAGCAAACGCCCGATTCGTTATTGGTAGTACACCCCAAGCTAACCAAAACGATAACTGAAAAAACTTGTGGTGATGAACCCGAAGTAACATTTGATTGTGAATAGTTCTGTATGGTAAAGGGTATTCAGATATGGGGATTGAGATTAAACTTTGGTAAACACTGATTATACATTGAACAGTTTAAAACTTGTAAATAGAAGTTTTGATGCATATTGTTTAATTTAAAATGTTTGTTGCTGATCTAATTGTGGGAGTTTACAGCCGCATGGCGATGGACATCACTGTACAGCTAACAATTGTTATAGTAGATGGTACAGCCGTATGGCATAGGTACCGGTTAACTCTTTATCGACAAGCGACATTTTGACGATTTTACAACTCAATTGTTTATAACGTAAATATCTCAGCGCGTATTCACCCCCTTTAAAACAAGGAATACCATTGAAATCCTAATAAAATAACCTTTTCAACGGGGGGTTGAATGCCGTCAAAGCATTACACAAACCGAAACAATCATATATTTACTCACCGCTTGGCCAAAATTTCGGAATTTCGTTTCCACAATAGCGTAAATAACTTGAGAATTCTTCAGAGTTCGGCTCAAATCAATATGAGTGAAATGTGTGCTGTATTCAAGCGCTTTTATATCCAGAATTTCACTTGAATACAGCCACTAGAAATGTTTATTTTGAGTTTTTAAAAATATCGGGTTTTTCTTGGTTTTTCTCGCACGCGCCTGCCACACGCTAAAATTGGCGAATAAGAAGTACCCGTAGCCCGATGCACGTGCAAATCATGCTGCAGATGTAATTTGACCTTTAGAATCGATTTCCGACGTTTCCCGAGCGCTAGGATGTAAACACACGATGTTTTGGCGAATTTAAATTGCATTTCCGGTCAAAAAATATCCCGCTGAGTTCGCTAATATCGCAACAGATTGAAATATCGAAATAAAAGACGAAGAACTGAGGCTACAAGCCTCAAAATAACACTGTAAATAGTGTTTTTGATTGTGAATCGAACAAGACTACAACCAAAAATACATGTTTGAAGGGGCCGAAGTTGTGTCTGGCAAAAGGTATGGCTTTAGTGATAAATTGTTTACATTTTTCGAACAAATATGTAATTTGTTGAAATATGATACGTCTTGACCCTTCCAAGGTAAAAAACCGCTATAATGTTTGTCTTTGACTAAAACTATCATTATGAATCAGGAAATATTATTTCGCTGAATTGAATGTTAGTATTTTCATCTACGTAGCATGTACTGAACCGAAGATATGAACCTCCAAAATACTATTGCAGTTCTGCAAAATCGCATTCCCGGTCAAAAAAAATCCCGTTGACTTCACTAACATCGCAACAGAATGAAATATCGAAATAAAAGACGAAAACCCGAGGCTACAAGCCTCAAAATAACACTGTAAATAGTGTTTTTGATTGTGAATCAAACAAGACTACAATGAAAAACACATGTTCGAAGGGGCCGAAGTTGTGTCCAGCGAAAGGCATGGTTTTAGTGCTACATTGTTTATATTTTTAGAACAAATATGTAATTTGTTGAAATATGATACCTCTCGACCATTCAAAGGTCATAAATCGCTATAATATTTGTGTTTGACTAAAACTATCACTAGGAATCAGGAGATATTATTTCGCTGAATCGAATGGTGGTATTTTCATCTACGTAGCATGTACTGAACTGAAGATATGAACCTCCAAAATACTATTGCACATCTGCAATAGTTTTCACAGGGCCGGTCGAAAAGGAGTTAAAGTTGTTATAGTAGATGGTACGGCCGCATGGCATAGGTACCGGTTTTAATTCATAGTAGATGGTACAGCCGCATGGCATAGGTACCGGTTAAATTTGTTATAGTAGATGGTATAGCCGCATGGCATAGGTACCGATTAAAATTGTTATAGTAGATGGTACAGCCGCTTGTCATAGGTACCGGTTAAATTTGTTATAGTAGATGGTACAGCCACATGGCATAGGTACCGGTTAAATTCATTATAGTAGATGGTACAGCCGCATGGCAGAGGTACCGGTTAAATTTGTTATAGTAGATGGTACAGCCGCATGGCATAGGTACCAGTTAAATTCATGATAGTAGATGGTACAGCCGCATGGCATAGGTACCGGTTAAATTTGTTATAGTAGATGGTACAGCCACATGGCATAGGTACCGGTTAAATTCATTATAGTGGATGGTGCGACCGCATGGCACAGGTACCGGTTAAAATTGTTATAGTAAATGGTACAGCCGCATGGCATAGGTACCGGTTAAATTCATTATAGTAGATGGTACAGCCGCATGGCATAGGTACCGGTTAAATTTGTTATAGTAGATGGTACAGCCGCTTGGCATAGGTACCGGTTAAATTTGTTATAGTCAGATGGTACAGCCGTATGGCATAGGTACCGGTTAAATTTGTGATAGTAGATGGTACAGCCGCATGGCATAGGTACCGGT